AATCTTCCTTCTCTCTCTCTCTCTCTCTCTCTCTCTCTCTCTCTCTCTCTCTCTCTCTCTCTCTCTCTCTTTGTCTCTCTCTCCTCTCTTTCGAGCAGAGCTATCATAGTCAACAACCCCTTTTAAAATGACCAATCTTAATCTGCAATAGAGTTTAGGTTGTCCTGAATCCAAAGGATTATTTCTAAAGACCACCCCATCAGCCAATCTATTCTCAGCAAAACAACCACTAATAGGCATTTGACCTTGGGCAAATAACTTATTTTCCTCTGGGCCTCTGTTTCCCCATTTGTAACATAGAAGGATAGAGAGAATGCTTGGGTGCTCTCAAACGTAGTTCCTTTTGGCCCTAATATTTTAAAAGGAGACTGCCAGAGATGTAGAGAATAAGGTAACATCAACAGGTGAAGTCTCTACAACACTTCTTCCACGTTGGCAAGGCCCTGGAGCCCCTTTACCTCGAAGCCATACTGTTTCCCCGTAGGTCTTTGGCTACTTAATGGGGGCTAAAGGATTTCTTTCTATTCACTCTTCTCAGTAGATGTAATGTGCTCTGCGTATCTGCTTTGACAGGCAATCTTACTTTTAGCATCGCTCCTATGTAGTAGGAAGGGCCAGTGGCAGGACCTAAAAGTCTACGATGATTTATTGTTCTAAATTCAGAATGGCTCTCAGGCTGTTGGACGCAGGCCTGATTTAAGGGACTAGTTAAGCAGCAAGTGCGCCCCCTGGCGACATATGTAAAAATTGCAGAAAAATCCAGCCATTCAACAAATACTACTCATTGAATTTAAATCCTGTCTCTGCATAACTCTCAAGATAGGATAAAAGAAATGCGCATAAATGTTCTGTAAAGTAATATACAGGCTACAGATGGGAAGGTTATTGTCTCTAAGCTTGTATTTTCACTCTCAGAGACAATTTTCACCCATTTGGCATATCCACTTATTGCCTCTCAGTTCTTGGCTTAGCAATTGGAGTAGAGCAGAGATTTTCAACTTTTTAAAAAAAATTTCATGGCACACTAAAATTCTGCGGCACACCAGTGTACCTCTTGCACCACTGGGGTAGAGGGTATATGGAGTTTGACACTGCCATCCTCCAATTACACCTCTCTTTCAGAACAACAATGGAACTGGTTATTTCAAGAGGGAATCAGTCAGCTCTCAGTGGTTGGAGATGTAGAAGCACTTGTTTTAAGAGTCATTGGGAATGCTAGAAAAGGGTAGAGATAAAGTTAGATTCACTTATTCAAATGATTAAATACTTATTGAGTACCTACCTTAGGAACTTCTGAAGTGATAAGGTGCACAAGTTATGAACAAAGCAGTCATTGTTTTAAGAGTTTACATTTAATCAGGGTGAAACAATGTTCTTTTTATTATTTATTTATTTATTTATTTATTTAGAAATATATATTTTTATTGATTTTTTACAGAGAGGAAGGGAAAGGGATAGAGAGTCAGAAACCTCGATGAGAGAGAAATATCGACCAGCTGCCTTCTGCACACCCCCCCACCGGGGATGTGCCCGCAACCAATGTACATGATCTAGACCGGAATCGAACCTGGGACCTTTCAGTTCGCAGACCGACGCTCTATCCACTGAGCAAAACTGGTTTTGGCAACACTGTTCTTTTTAAATCAGAGGTTCCCATCAGGCCAGCATTTAAAATAATGCTAGTCTTGTTTGACAAACAATTATAATGATGAGTTGTCAGGGCTTTGGTGTACTAAGGAGATTTGTATATCAAAACAAAAGCAATCCAGGCCCCCAGACATCACCCTATCCCTGGCAGCTGTTCTATCGATAGATCATGAAAGTGGAATCTGAGGGAGGCTGATTCAAGGTTTTCATTCTTCAAGGTACAATGGTCCTGGGTGTTGCCTGTACATGAGAGGAGGGAAGAGAGAGGAACAGATATAGACATTATAAGTTGCATCTATTTATATATAACTCTATCTATCTATCTATCTATCTATCTATCTATCTATAAAAGGCCAATTCGCAAATTGTCCTCTCGGGAGTTTCACTGGAAGACCAGGAGTTTGATCACTCACTATGATGTGCTGATCAAAACGGGGCAGCATGGAATGAAGGATGGCTCTGGCTAGCAGCCGAAAGGAAGACCCCAGTCGGCAGTTAGAAGTCCCCAATTGGCCCTGATTGCTGGCCAGGCCTAGGGTCTTAACTCTGCACAAATCTCATGCACCAGGCCTCCAGTATATTCATAAGCTGTCAGAGATGGAAGGCATCTTAGAGATGATTTCTTCTAAAATCCTCATTTTAGAGATGAAGTAACAGATGCAGAGAGAAGTCATAATTAATGATCATTAGCAAATTGGAACTAAAAATTGAATTTGCATATACTGATAATGAGAACAAGCATATTACAAATAAGTATAAAATAGTGTGATTCCAATTTAGAAACCAAACAATAACTCCCAAATGAAAGAATATGAGAACTCTCTAGAAAAAGAGGTAATTGAAATGGAGATGAGAAATTTATCTGATATAGAATTCAGAATAATGATGTTAAAGATGCTTAGCAGAGTGAGAAAATATATAGTAACTATGAAAAAAGAACAGTTGGAAATAAAAAATAACATAGCACTAATAAACAAAACACTGGAAGGAACACATAGCAAATTAGGGGAAGCTGAAGACCGGGTCAGTGAAAGAGAAGACAGGACAGGAGAAAATAGCACAATAAGAGATCCAAAAAGAAAAAAAACCCAACAATTAAAAACGAGGAGAGCTTAAGGCGGCTATGGGGCAGACTCCCAGAATTCTTTAGTAGAGTGCTGTTCTCAGATTTCCCACAAGAGGGCGCTATTGCGCCCGCCTCCCTATTAGGGTGCTGTTCTGGGAATGCCTACATCCCTGGGTAACAGATCCGAGAACTGCTGCATTCAGTGCTGCTGGAGCTGGAGAATTTCTCTGAAGACAGCACTCCGCAGACTTTCCCAACCAATTGGTGTTTACTAGAGAGGAAACCTCCACATTGTTCAATGCTTTCTGAATAGTTTTTGTGCCTTTCTGGAAATTATACAGTGTCTGTTTGCTTTCCCTGATGCCTTCTCTTTGAGTCTAAAAATTTGTCTTAAACCCAGGCACCTTTTAGGATTGTTAGGAGTATCAAAAGATAATAAAAACAGCTGTTAGGATCTAGCTTTGTAAATGAAGGGCTACATAAAGGCAAGAGCTTCTGCTTTCAAATCCCACTCCTTTCTGAAGCTGCCCACCTTTGCACCCCCAACCCATAGAGTCCTAATCAACCTCACCCTCAGTGACTTGAGATGGGAGCTTCTGGTAGCCAACATCTCTCAGAACGCTTTACCAAGATTGATACCTCTGATAAGCAACTGCTGTTTGGACAGAAAAGGCTGTCCACCTAGCAGAATGTGCAATGTGGCATCAGTGCAAATGTCAAGCGGGCTCCGAATAACCAAGGACAGGGCAGCACAGGTCTGAATAGAAACATCATTTGACACTAAGTTGTGTGTCTGGCTGGCTCATAAGTCCTTCATTGTCCAGGTTTGGAACGACAAGCCGTTCCTTTTGCTGGTGACGGATTCTAATTTCCTGAAAAGGAATAATGGTTTGTGAGTAAATGATGTGACAATGCCCAGACCCCGTCTCTAGCAATCCGTCCAAGGTGTCACGTGACCAAAGCAGGACCAATGCGCATCTTCCACAGGTTCCCTCCCCCCCCCCCAACTGGAGGCAGCAAAGAAGTTTCCTTTTCATTGGGAGCCTCTAGGGAAGATCTGGGGAGAAGGCTTTATCCCCTAAGATCAGGACTATGAGCGCTATTCCCATCTGTTCCAGGGGACTCTTTAAAAAATGCTATGGCCTTCAATATAATATTGAACGTCAAATGTGATTAAAAAACAACTTTAAAAAATCTTTTAATCACTTTAAAATCAGTTTACAAAAAAAGAAAATCTTTATTGTTGAAAGTATTACATATGTCTTTTTACCCTACACCCCCCCCACCCCCACCATCTGCCCATTCTAGCCTGTACCTGCCCCCCACCCCCAGGTCTTCATCACCCTATTTTTGAAGTCCAATCATTGTGCATATATGCATGTGTTTTTGTTATTAAGGTGTGAGTTCTTTTATGTTTTGGATACAAGTCATTTAGTAAGTGTATGTTTATGAAACATACAAACAAAAATGCTGTGGTCAATTAAATTTATGTTTCTGAAAACAAAAAAACAAACAAAAAAACTGCCTTTAGATGGGCTGTATGTATACCGAGAGGATTATATGTGACATAGCTCCCCAGGGGGCAGAAATCTTGGTCTAATTTTAAGTCTTGTACCTGGCTTAAGTTGCCTGATCTGTAGGACTCACTCAACTTACTTCTGGATTTCTCACTGAGGAATTCATCCTCTGAGGGAGGAGGGAAAGTCAGAAGCCTCCTCTCTAGCCATCTTACTTTCAATTGTATGTCTACATTCTAGCAATGGACAATCCGGAAGACAATAGCCTTATAGAGACAGTTTAACCACATACATATGTATGTATATATTATCTATATACCATATATCACTATATGCAAAATGTATGCACCTGCTTTGAATAAGTATAAAGGCAGTGTTTATTAAAATACGTTTCATTGTCAAAATCGAGCTATCCGCTGTTCAAGAGAGTATACATTTTTGGGGACACTCTGTTTATATTCCACACTATCCTATATAATAAAAGCCCAGCCACCACAACTATGTAATGACCAGAATGACTGGTTGACCAGTCGTTGTGAGGTGCATTGACCATCTCTCGGTTCCTCCCCTCCCCTGGCCCACAGTCTCTGATCGCCGGATGGCGAATGGGGCACCCGGGTGGGTGGTGGTAGCAGGCGGGACTGGGTACTGGTGAGCGGGCAGAAGATGGCCCTGATTATAGGCTAGGCCTAGGGACCTTAGCCTCTAGTTAATATATAAAATTCTATAATAAGCATTCCTTCTCTGACTGAACCCTGCTTGGTAGAGAATCACTGTGTGAAAATGCTCCCCGAAATCTCCCTGGTTTCCTGAGGAAGGCTTCCGCTACTTTTCTTCGCATCGGTGTCGTCCTCCAAAGCCCTCTGCAGGACCAGCTTGAGGGTCTGCCTCCGCTGCCTGAAGGAGCCGACAAAAAAGTAGATGATGGGGTTGACGCTGCTGTTAAGACTAGGCAGGATGACCCACGTCTTTCTAAGAAAATAGGAAAACGTTTTACTGCAGGGTGTCCAGTGACACAGAAACCATTTGAAGCTGAAGGGCAGACTGAAGATGAAGACGACCAGCACGATGAGCAGGATAACCACGTAGAGCCTAGTCAAGGGCACCCGGTGGGAGCCACACAGCAGTCTGGCCAGCAGGGCCAGGCTGGACCCAGCGAGCAGCACAAACAGCAACGTCAGCCACGCGGCGATGATGAAATCAAACGCCCGACACCAAGTTGGGTCACGTTTCCTCACCAGGAAGCCACAGTAGTTCCCTTCCAGCATGCTCAGCAGCAGGGACAGGGCCCAGAGCAGGGCACACATGCCCGCTGACCAGTGCCTGGGGCGACGGCAGCGGTACCAGATGGGCCGCAGGACAGACAGGCAGCGCTCCATGCTGATGGCGCTGAGAAAGCTCAGGCCTGAGATGTAGGCAAAGATGGACACAGTGATGAAAATGTAGGGGATGGAAATACACGTGGAACGGAAGTTATTGGTGAATGTCTGCAGGGAATATGTAACCTGGCAGGAGAGGAAGAGGAAGTCGGCCCCCGCCAGGTTGAGGATGTAGATGGAGAAGGCGTTCCTGCGCATGCGGAAGCCCAGCAGCCAGAGCACCACCGCGTTCCCTGCCAGCCCCACCAGGGCCACGGTGAAGACCAGCACGGTTGGGGTCAGGGTCGCTTTGTTACATTTGGAAAGAGCCTGGTCACTTCCATTGGTTGGTGTGAGCTCGGTCCCCCAGGCTGTGGCAGTCATATTTGTGCTCTCAAACCCTGCAGTGGTGACCCTGGAAGAAAACAAGGGTTGACAAGTGCCTGGTAGGATCAGTGGTTCTCAGAGCCATCATGCTATGTGCCATTTTTGTCCCGTGCTGCAGAGCTCGGAAAGGAGGGTCCAGAGGTTAAGATATTAATGGAAGGCCACGCAGTTGAATACAGGAGCCCTTCCCTGCCTCAGAAAGGCAGCCATTGTTCCAAAATCCAGAGGACTCACGTGGGCAGAGGTCTCCAAGTGGCAAGGGCATGCATCCTCCTCCTGGGTACAGGGAGGAATCAAGTGCAGAATCATCCATCTTCTCTAGAGGGACAAGCTCCCAGGGCCCTGATTGGCCAGAAAAGGATGTGGGAGGGAAACTAGAACCTCTACGATCCCTGCTCAGAAAAGTTAATACTCAGTAAGTCTGTTTTCTAGCATATCTTATGTATCATCCTTATCAAATTGGAAACTTCATAAGGACTAAGTGGAGCAACTGTAGCTCACTATTGTATTGCCATTATTTAGCACGTGTCCTGTAGAGACCTCTATTGTAATATAGTCAATTAAAACAGGGAGAAGATGAGGCCTAAAACATCAAAGGGATTTTCCTGGGTTCTCACTGTGAAGTGGGGACCCACCACCATCCTGGAGCCCTAACCCACACTTTCCCACTATTCCTTGTTACATCATTCCTTATCTCTGAGGAGTTCCAGAAAAATCTTTATGTGAACTCAGAATGTGAGGGACAAGCAGGGATGCAGAGACTGCCCCCAGTATTTATTCTCTTCTTCTGTCACATAATGATTCTGAGAGTTTTAAGACCAGAGAAATGACCCTATTTTCCAATTCCCTTAATACTGACGGCATCATGTGACTAGACACTGGCCAAGGGGAGGCAAGTAGAAGTGATGTTCCCAATCCCCAGTCAGACCTTTAATAGCAGGAGCATGGCTTCCCCTACTCTTCTTTTTCTGTCTGGGAGCTGAATGCTTAAGTGTCTGGGAGCCATATAGGACCATGAGGATGAGGACACCTGACTAGGGGTAGGGAGAAGCAAGTTGGAAGGAATGCTTGTGTATGAATGCCTTGGAGACTCCAGTCTAGGTTGAATACACTTTGTCTCTTATTTAAGTCTTTACTACTCTAACCCATCCCATATAATAAAAGGCTAATATGCAAATTATTCCCTCGAGCCAAAGTTCTACTGGGAGTTTAACCAGGAGTTCCACCAGGGGGTGGGGCTGGCGGGCAAACTGCCCGTTCCCTTCCCCCAGGCCGATCTGGGTTGCCCAGATCTGGGTGGGCTGGTCAGACCCCACCCATGCACAAATTCGTGCACTGGGCCTCTAGTAAAGAATGTTTCCTTTTAAAGTTACATTTCAATGGCAAGGCTTTTTAAAATTTTTATTTTTTATTTTTATGGATTGGGTGATTGCTTCATAAAAGTGAAACTAGAGAAAGAAGGTGCAAACGGAAGAAAAAATCCACTGATGAAGGTGAGATGAGAAATTGTTTGATGATATCAAGATAAAGAAAACCCAGGGAGTAGAAAAACTGTGAGGTCAAGGAGACAGGAGGGATAGTTTGCATTTGCTCGGAGGACCACCTTTTCATCCTTCTCTACTCTGTTTGGCCTCCCAAGAGGATGGCCTCTATGTACTGATAGGGGGACTTATAATCAGATAGAGCACCTGAATTAATCTGAAAAATAATCATATTATTTTAAATCTTACAACACATGTACTTATGTGAATAGGGGGCTAATATATGTGAATAGGGAGCTAAGTTCAAGGCCTGTGTGAAGTGATTGAAGAAGTGACTCAGCTCTGAATCCAACAAGCAGAACCAATAAGCATGGTCAGACTGACACATGTTGATGAGATGAAGTCAAAACATTATCTCGTCAACATCAACTCACCTCCTGATGACTAAAGGACAATAGCTGATGTCTGCAGACCTCCAGGGCTGCATGTAGCTGCATTACATTTCCAGCCTCACTCTAATCCTTTCCCCTTTATAACCCTGTCACCTGCACCTTGCTGTAAGACAGGATTTGAATGCTTGTAAGCGCCTTGTCTTCTTGATTGGATAGCCTTCTCAATATATACCTTATATGATTCAACCCCTCTTTCATTGTTGGACACAGCAACAGGCAGCCTGAGACCACCCAGGGTTTTCCTGGTAACAGTATCTCATGAGTGAAACCCCGGTCCTTCCAATTACTGGTTAAATAGAGCTACCAGGAGACTGGAGGGCAGGAAAAAAGAGATTTGGCCTTTTCACCTCCTGGCTCTCTCCCTGCTGAGCAGTGTGTTGGCCTGGGCCTGCTTCTCCACCTGGCTGGTGGTCCTCCCTGTTGCTGCTGCTATGATTACGGCTCTGCTCTGTGTACTTGCTCTTTCCTGGGCCCCTTTAAGCTTCAGGATGGAAATAGTGCTTCTCTATTGCTTACCTTACGGTGCTTCACTCTGCATTGTCACTTTCCTTTAAATCCGCTCAACAGTCTCACATGAAACACTCCCCACTTACCCCAGTTTGGGCAGTTCACCCCTGGTACTCTTGCCATATCCACAAGAGAAGAGGGGGAAAAAGAAAAAAAAGAAAGAAAAGGAAACAGTGGAATTTGACTTAATAAAAGCTCTGACTTGGGAAGCAATGCTCACATTCTACTTTGCTCCCTAAATTAATAGTTGAGGCAACGTTCTCTCTATGACAACAGATTTGAATGGTTGGAGTGAAGGGGAACCTATGAGGAGATGGGTCAGATGAGAGAAAGGTTCTAGTTGACCCAATTTGCATCTCTAACAGTCAGAGTTGATGCACCCAAAGATTCTAGAGGAGAGCTTCACATTTCCTGTGTTTCCCTGAAGGATGCACTGGAGCCCTTGCATGTAGTGCCCAGGAACCATGGGGATGGGAACGTAGAGCAAAAACCATAACTGGCTTTGGACATAAGTCAGTTCTGGGTATATATTCTTACCTTTCTTCCATTCTTCTGGCCTGAGGTGGAGATCGGACCTCTGATGAAGGGGAGAGTTTTTCTGGGACTGAGTGTTGCCAGAAACACGTCTCTGCCCTCTAAATCGGGAGATGTATGAAGGAGCCAGACTGAAAGCTGGTGACTAAGCAAGGTTTATCAAGATATTGGACAGAACTTGCAATTTCCTGGGCCAGGACTGTGGGCAAGTCAGAGACCAGAGCTGTTTGAGACATGATCTCTTACTGAGATGTTTCTCATCATTTGCCCTACATCCACTCACCTATCAGCCACTCCTGTCTTACCCCATCCGGTCATCCTCCTGGTAATCACTGTTGTGAAACCTATAGTTGAAGACTGAGTCTGGGGAACAATGTCAAACAATGTGAGCTTGCATTGAGATGCTTTAAAACTAAAGAATAAAATATATTGTAGGGTAATTGAAAGTTCACCATGGCCCAAACCCATTTTTCTTGTTTGTTTGTTTTAATTATCGTAGCAACGTGCATTCTTGTGTTTAATTTCCCTCCAAATGGATAGAGAAGTAGATACAAGTGACAGTCTCCCTGAATCCTGTTCTTCAAAGTTCAACCTATTCTTACTTCCTTTATTCTTAAAGTTATGTTTTTAATTTATTGACATTAAGAAGTTGATCAATTGGCATCCCTTTTAAACACAAGGAGTTCAGCACACATAACATTCTTCTTCCCTCTTTCACTTCATCTAATTTTAAAATTTATTTTCATTTGGTGTAAATATTAAAAATTTAACTCTTATCTTTTATGTTTTCCTTTCATGGGCCTCATGCTACAGTCAAATTAAGTTTCTTGTGTACTCTTTTAAAATCCTCATTTGAAGATATGCTTATTGATTTTTTTAGAGAGATGAAGGGAGACAGAGAGAAACATCGATGTGAGAAACATCAATTGGTTGCCTCTTGGACACACCCCACCTGAGGATCAAACTCTCAACTTGGTATGTGTCCTGACCTTTTGGTTTATGGGACAATGCTCCAACTATCTGAGCCACACTGGCCAGGGTGAGTTACTTGTTATTTTTAAAATGTCATTTGGATTATAAACCATTTCAAATATTCAGAAAAGTTCTTCAAATGGGCTCATTCAGTGAATCTATAATAATAAAAGAATACTATGCTAATGAGACTATTCGTCCTTCCAAACGACCTTCTGGATGAAGCCGGGGCTGTGAGGGAAGTGTGGGTCCAGGTGCAGGAGGGAAGCCGGTGCCAGCAGCCTGGGGAAGGAAGGCCTACTCTTGCAAGAATTTTGTGCATTAGGCCTTTAGTATTTAATAAGGATCTTATTATAGACTGACTTGTGTCCCTCCACAAATTTATATTTTAATGCTAAAATCCTATTTCTCAGCTATATGACTATTTGGATATAGAGTCTTTAGAGAGAGAGAATTAAGTTAAATGAAGTAACTATAGTGAGCACTTATCTAACATGACCTGCATCCTTATAGGAAGGGGAGATCAGGACACAGATACATGTGAGGACAGAAGAGAAGATGCCATCTATTAACAAAGAAGAGAGGGCTCAGAACCTGACAACCCTCTCAATACATTGATCTCAGAATTTTACCTTCAGAATTGTGGGAAGATAAATTTCTGTTGTTTACGCCACACAATCTGTGGTACTTTTGTGTGGCAGCCATAGCAAACTAACATAGACCTACTGTGTCCCAGGCATTGGAATGCCAGCATTAACAACAGCCATAAACTAGAGCAAGGCCTTTTTGGAGCTTAGACTCAAAGGTCTGACTGAGCTGCAGACTGAAAAGAGAGGAAGTCTGAAGGGGTCTTTGTTTATTAGAAATTGAGAAGTTGGATCCAGAAAACCATATGTAGGGAAACTGATCAATGAAACAAATGTCTCAGAATTAGAACCAAATGCATATGGGAATTTATCACATGACAAAAAAAAAAGCATATTAAAATAGTGGGTGTAACATGAACTTTTTGGTGAATGGAATTGGGATCACTGGTGGCCATCTAAAATAA